TTTGGCGGACAAATTTGAAACACAATACCCAATAGGCGCTGCACTCATTAAATCATCGTTCTTTGTCGACGTCTTCTTAGGTGGAGCAGATTCCATTGATCAACTCACCAATATCAGACATCAGTTAACGGCCATTCTACAGAAGGGTTGCTTCGATCTTGACAAATGGCATTCAAACCATCATGACTTCATCAGCGATACTACAACAAAGAGTTTGAATCTTGATACAGATACAGTCACCAGCGCTCTAGGCATCAAGTGGCACCAAATGCAAGATGTTTTCCTATTTTCGTTTAATGCACAACCAGGTCATATTGTAACAAAACGCACCATCTTATCCCTTGCGTCTTCATTATTCGACCCGCTTGGATTACTAGCACCGATCATACTCGTAGCCAAAATTATGATGCAAGAATTGTGGCTTTTGCGTGTGGATTGGGACGAGTCAGTCCCTCAAAATCTTCACTCAGCTTGGAAAACATTTATTCAAGATCTTACAACGCTTTCATCGGTTAAGGTGCCGAGGTACTGCCTATCCATAAACTATCAACAGGTTGATGTACACGGTTTCTGTGACGCTTCAATACGCGCATATGGTTGCTGTATATTTCTCCGATCACAAAACACATCAGGTAAGGTAACGGTCAGGCTATTCACTGCAAAATCCCGTGTGGCACCTATAAAGCGGAAGTCGCTACCTAAACTAGAACTCTGTGGTGCCTTACTTCTTGCCAAACTGTATCAGAAGGTCCAACCAATATTTGCGCAATTTAAGGGTGAAACGTTTTTTTGGACTGATTCACAGATTGTATTACATTGGTTGAAGCAGCACTCATCAACCCTGTCTGCATTCGTTGGCAATCGAGTAGCGGAAATTCAAGATATTACCGCAAATGGGCAATGGAGACACGTTCCTACCCAATCCAACCCGGCAGATGTTGTGTCGCGCGGCTGTAACATCCGCCAATTATCAGAGTCTTGTTGGTTTACGGGGCCGGAATTTTTGTTACTCGCTGATAAATACTGGCCGCATTTGAAATGTCACAACCTGGATATGGAAGAAGTCAATAAAGAGACGCGAAAGGTTGTATTCGTTAACACAAATGAAGACAACTACGTATTACAGGTATTGTCAAGATATAGTTCATACACTAAGATGCTACGAGTAATAGCGCAGGTACAGCGTTTTTATCATGTAACCAAGAATAAATTGAAGAACGGAGAATGTACCCTCCAACCTATTCAGCTACAAAAGGCATTGCACTGTATTATTTGGGTCATCCAACAGCAATTCTTCGAAATTGATATACAACGCCTACAACGAGGGAACCCAGCCAAAGGTACATTAAAGCATCTAAATCCCTTCCTGGACAATGTATTCGGTTATCAATTACTAAAGGTGGGAGGTCGCCTCGAGCTGAGTGACATCTCAGTAGGCCAACGTCACCCTATTTTGTTGCCGAAGGGCTGTTATTTTGTGGAACTTTATGTTCGGCATATACACTTGTGCAACTATCATGCAGGCGCAAAAGCACTAATTGCCCTTACTCGACTAAACTTCTGGATAATTAATATTCGAGAAATTGCACGCCGAGTCGTGCACTCGTGTATTCACTGCGTGCGTTATAAACCCAAACTACTTAATCAAATGATGGGTAATCTCCCAATCGAACGCCTCACTCCAAGTCGTCCTTTCGCGCGTACTGCGGTAGATTTTTGCGGTCCGATATTAACGTATCTCCGAATTCGGGGACGGGTTCCATATAAGACCTATATAGCCGTGTTCGTTTGTTTGTCTACAAAGGCAGCTCATCTAGAAGCCGTGTCAGACTTATCTACGGAGGCATTTATTGCAGCACTGAAAAGGTTAATCGGTAGACGAGGGTTACCATCAGACATCTATTGCGACAACGCCACGAACTTCGTTGGGGCTAACAATAAACTAGCAGAGTTAAAAAGAATGTTTTTCGAGAAGTCTAATCAAGTGATGCTGCAGACCTTTTGCAGCAACCAATTCATAAATTTCAATTTTATACCGCCCCGAGCACCTCACTTTGGAGGTCTATGGGAAGCGGCTGTAAAAAGCGCGAAAGGCCATCTGTATCGAACACTATCAAATACTCGATTCACCTTTGAGGAGCTTGGAACAGCACTGATTGAAATCGAAGCTATCTTAAATTCGCGACCAATCACACCTCATTCTTGTGACCCGAGCGATTATGAAGCGCTAACGCCAGCACATTTTCTTATCGGTGGGCCGCTCAAAACTTTATCTGAACCAAGTCCTCAGTATGAATCTGCTTCATTAATTGATAAATGGTCTCGTATAACCGCAGTCAAACATCACTTCTGGCGCAGATGGTCTAGAGACTATCTGAATGAGCTGCAGATACGCACCAAATGGACAGAAGAACAATCTAACATCACCGAGGGGGCTCTGGTTTTAATCCATGAAGACAATATGCCTCCACAACGCTGGTTGATGGGCCGAATCGTGCATTGCATCAGGGGTCCAGATAATTTGGTTCGTGTTGTTGATGTGCAAACCCCAAAAGGAGTAATACGCCGTCCAATCCACAAACTCGCACTATTACCAATTGAAAATCCTTTCAAGGGGGGCGGGATGTTAGAGCGGTTAAAGTCAAATTGTTAATATTGTAGGATTCTGTAGAATTATTATAATTGATGTGTTATATGATTTATATATTATATTTTATTATATTTTAATCTATTTTAAATCATATATTGTATAATTAAATTATTATAATTAATATATTATATAATTCATATATAATATTTTATATGTTTAATATATATGGTTAATTAATTTATCTAACTAACCCTGTATAAGATGTAATCAAACCAACGGTTCTAAGTCTTGTTTTTATTGCCTTTTGTTTTTGCGCTCGAGATGAGCAATTTTTTTGTTATATTTTTTGGGCTGCAAGTAAACTCCGTTGGTTTGATTCTGTCTCTTGTTTTTCGATCGCGAACGTGTCAACACACGGGTACACATAAAAAAGTGATTAAACAATCAATAACCGAAATTGTATAAATTCAATTGTATAAATTAAATGAAATCAAAACCCAATTATAAAAACGTTTATAATTTACATTGTGTTAAAGAAATTGAAATAAAGATCATAAAATCCAATTATAAAAACGCTTATAATTTACAATAGCAATAACCAAATATAATAAAAACTATTTATAAATAGTATTATAAATATATATTATTATATTATGATTATGATTATTATATTATTGTATTATGATTATTATATTATATTATATCGTTTGATATATTATTATCGTATTATATCGCTTCTATAGTATCACTAACTAAAGACCGTTTTATTATTATTACTATACGGTCTTTGATGAGTTAGAAATGTCTTGAGATTATTCAACTCTATCTTCCATCTTCTATATACCATAGTCAAAACTTAATAATAAATTTTAAGCATTTTTGTTACTACACAAACGCACTGTTTTATTGATACAATCTCCACATAAATAATAATTTTAGAAGTTAATAAATATTATTGTTTTAATAATAATTAATCAAACTAAAAAATAATTAGTAACTTTCAATAATTTATTTTCCGTGGGTAATTTATTACTTCGCTTTATATATTTAAAATTAGTTTTGTGCATACAAACAATCTTCTGTAGTACATAAGACAACATCGTTGTTGTTGCAAAATTAGTTTCTGCAGTTGGATGGTTATAAGAATAAACAATGTGTCTCTGTCTTTCAACTCAAAATTTAAATGGGAGTGTATATTGCTTTTACTATTAAATTTATAATCATAAAAATATTTAAATCGGCTTCTACTATCATTTGAATCTCTCTACCACTTAGCTTCAATTAATATATATGATGCCATTAAAAAAAAATAATAAAAACAGAAATCACAAATGGCGAATAAATGTCTCGTTGTGATTCTTAAGGAAACTTTAGAACTCCTTTGCATATATATTCAATATTTCTTAACACTAATTTTTGTAAATGAATAAAAAATTAAAAAAGAAAATTAATCGTAAAATTAAATCTTACGAAACTTAAAAAATTAAAATAAATTAATAAACTTATTTATGTTAATTTATTATTGATTAAATTTATTTATTTAAATTCGATTAACGATAAATCTAGTACAATTTCGAGTTTCTAAGTTATTTTTAAATGATTGTTATAAATTCAGGATTCATATACGAAAATCCAATAAAATCATTTTGATCCAAATTCATCATAAATAATTTATCGGTTGGTGTTAGTTCAGGCTTTTCAACGGTGAAAGATTTATCAAAATGACGCAAATCCTTACGATGTTTCTGAAATAATATACAATAATAATAAATAATATTAAAAGTATTAAGTGTATAATCCAATTGTATATATAATGTGTATAAAATATACAGTACACACTCGAAAATGTGAATAATGGATGACATAAAAACTAGATTAAATGAACACTAATCTTCAGAGCTACTACTCCAAAGAGTATAAAAATTCTTAAATGTCAGCAGAAATGTTGTACTTAATTAGTTCACATACTTGAACGAGTACTATATATTAATCCATTGTTCTTATTTTGTGCCCTTTATAATAAATATTCACTTACAACTATAGGTATTATTGGTGGTTCCATGTCCTTATTCGCTGCTTGTTCCCAATCAATTGGAGCAAAGAACGGATGAGTTTCTATTTCGGAGCGGGCATATCGTCCGCCTCCCAAACGATTGTTAGACTTTTTAGCTAAGAACTAAAGATATATCAAGTAAACATATTAATTAAAATATCATTTATTAACAAAATAATAAAATGAATAACAAATATTCTGACATTATTAAAAAATACATTTTTTTTGCTAACTAATATAAAAAAATTTTAATGAAATTTAAAGATATAATAATGATAATATCATATTGCCTTACACTCGTAATAATATCCATTGCTTCTTGCGAGAAGTGTTTCGGGAAGATCGCTTTTTTCTCTTTAATGTTCTTGAAAATAATAGTATCATCATCACCATCAAATGGAGATTGGCCAGAGAGCATTTCGTATAATAAAACACCATAAGACCACCAATCCACAGTGTTGTTATATGGTTCATAACTTATAACCTATAGTGAAGTATTTATAATAAATTAATTTTATGAAGGAATTAAACTCGTCTTACTTCTGGTGCCATATAAAGTGGAGTACCACAGAAAGTTCTTGTAGTTTCTCTCTCATCGATAGCGTCTTTGCTTAAACCAAAATCTGCTAACTTAATGTGACCATCCATCTCTACAAGAACATTTTCTAATTTCAAATCTCGATAGATTATTTGATTTTCATGCAAAAAGAAAAGTGCCAAAGCGATTTCCACAGCATAAAAACTGGAATAGTAAAAGTTTTTAATTTAGTATAGATTACAGGAACTTAAAAAATAAAATAATAGTACTTACATAGCAACTGATTCTTTGAAACGTCCATATTGTTGCATATAAAATAGAAGATCCCCACCCTTACAATACTCCATGACGAAAAATAATCTATCCTGTATATGAAAAATATAATATATAATTTTAATTAATCATATTCTTATTCATTTTAAGCTTTTATAATTTTCTTCCTTCAATCAATATATGTACATTATGACATACATTGTGACCGAAAAGCTTTCGGAAATTCTCATTTAAAATTCGCGCGCTGTATATTTTTCGATATTTTAAGTTTATGTAGTTTGGCAGCACTGTCTTAATTACTATGCCAAAATGAGCCGGATCTGTCGGACAGTTCGTTTACGGCAGCTGTTGAAACCAGTTCACCTCAGTAGTGCGTTGCGAAAAAAACAATGGAAAAAAATATTGAACAAAGAGTTTGCATCAAATTTTGTTTTTCGAACGAAATTTCGTGTGCAGAATCGTTGCGAATGCTACAAAAGGCTTATGGGGAATCAGTTTTATCGAAAACTCAAGTTTATGAGTGGTACAAAGCCTTTCAGGACTGTCGTACGACCGTCGAAGACATGCCGCGTTCTGGACGACCTTCGACCTCTACCACCGACGAAAACATTGAAAAGGCAAAGGAAATCGTGTTCAAAAATCCTCATGTGAGTGTTAGAGAGATAGCACGAGAGCTAGGCATCGGTCGTGAGATGGCTCGTTTGATTTTGGTGGACAATTTGTGTATGCGACGTGTCAACGCCCGGCTTGTTCCGATTCACCTCAATTTGTTCAACATTATCAACGATTTTAAGGCCAAACATTCAATAAATACCATCGAACAGCCACCGTATTCACCTGATCTTGCACCGTGTGACTTTTTCCTGTTTCCCAACCTCAAATTACCACTCAGAGGAACGCGTTTTGAATCCATAGAAGACGTAAAACAGAATTCGCAGAGGGAACTCAAAGCCATACCGGAAAGCGCCTATAAAAAATGTTTTGATGATTGGAAGAAACGTTGGCATTTGTGTATCGCTTCTAATGGAGCATATTTTGAAGGAGATAAAATAAATATTGATGAAGATTAAGAATTTTGCGTTTTATTTATGTGACCGGAAACTTTTCGGTCACAATGTACTATATAAAGAAAGGTCTTCATTATCCTTATATTTTTTAAGTTGCTACCACTACTAAGAATCCAACGAAACTCACCATAGTTCGCTATTACTCTCCATAATTCAACAAAACTCACCATAGTTTGAAAGCAAGAATGTAGAGATACCAAAAATGGTGATCTTCCCGATAAGGCCAATACTTGTTTCTCTGTCATTGGCAAATCCATATCATCTGTTTGCAATATGACGTCTTTACGTAGAACCTTTATAGCGTACAGTTCATCAGTTCCACGACGTTCGCCTAAAAGTACTTTGCCGAATGAACCCTTGCCGAGAACTTTGATGAAATTAAAGTCGGCCGCACGTATCATATCACGTTTGCTCATATTATGAGGTACATTCTTACTATCCATGCGACGTCTACGAGACATCGACTTAGTTTCACGCTAAAATGTAAATATATAGAAATATATTATTTATGCAGACTAACATTATATATTTTTTTAAGTACAATATTAAGTACAGATCTAATTTTTTATCAAGAAGCCTATGTTTTTATATTTGAGTCTATATTTAACTACATTAGAAAAATAGCTTCCAACTCATATGTAGGTCGCACTCATAGAGATATGGAACTTCGTTGGAGCTATTTCAATACAACCGTGTTATTGGTTTACGACTTATTTATTTATAGCTTTTGTGTACAAAAAAGTGCGACTTTAAACATTTGACTGCATATTAAAAACGGTACAAGAATTTGAAGATTAAAATATATTTGATTGAGATATTTGTATCTAGCCATCTTTAATATAGTTTTAAAGCTGCGGTTATGCTAGACTATGGTCCAAAGGTGCCATATGTAACTCAAGGTACCGTAAGTGCAAGTAATCTCTGTTTAGAAGCTTCTCTAATAAATCCAACTCATAGATGCATTTCAGACTAATCAGCCTGCTCGATAATCTCCGTATCGTTTTCATAAATGGTTATAATAATATAAGACATAGCGTAAAGCAAGACACCTATAGTTTAAGGGCACTTAATGGAATGACATAGGTTCACAAACAGAATAGAAAGAGAACATTATTAACAAAGGTTAAGACCGCTTACTGGCCATTATACTGATGATAATAGTGTGCGAAGTCACTGGATGATTTCGATAAATCAAAATATGAAAAAATGAAACCATAACGACTTCACAAAATGAAACTACGAACCCTTTTTTACAACAATTATCCTCATTTGATTCACACAATAAGCTTTATAATTTAAACAAATTGAATGTAATAATAATTTATATACTTACTCGAACTTCATCTCTTAATTGATTGATATCATTTATAGGGTCACTGCAAGGTATGTTGTAGTGTTCTCCTTCGACTGCCGATAAAAACTTATACCAACCATCAATTGGACCCTAAAAGAATTATATTTTTAAGATCACTGTTGTTACTTTTATATAAAATACTGATACCTTCTTTATTTCGTCCATGCTGAATGAAAATGAACCCATGAAATCATTGCGAGAGGTACGATCCCAATCCCAGACTTCAATCAAAAGACGTTTATCTCGATCTTGGGGAGTTAAATCACTATTGGAAGTTGTTTAAGCATAAAGTGGGAAAGATTAGTGTTCATATGTACTACAATTTATCAGCGTCAGTAAATAAAATAAGTGAATAACAGAACTAGAGTAATAAAAAAGATGAATAGATGGTGTGAATAATAATCTATGAAGAATAGGTAAAAATATAATAGACAAGAACAATAAAATCGACAAGAATCGCAGGCTATCAACAAGCTGAGCGGATTCAAGGATTATTATGACAAGCATGGAATTGATGATATATCCTTAACGTAATGCTTATGGATAAATTAACAGTATTTAGATTGTATATTGATCTATGAAGAATATGAAAAAATAGAATAGAAAAGAAGTAAAAATTGTTAAGAATCCAGTTCTAGCGGATTCAACAATTGTTATGCTAAGCAGGGAGATAATGACATGCCCCTAAATTAATGCTTACAATGAATTAACAATATTAGAATAGAATAGATACTGTGAATCATGATACGAGTATATAAAGAATAGGCAAAAATAGAATAGAAAGAAAATAAAAAATCGACAAAAATCGACAAGAAAGAATCGAAGGCTATTAATAAGTTTAATGGATTCAAGGCTTGCTTTGCCAAGCATGGAGATGATAATGTATCCTTATAGTAATGGTTATAGATAAATCAAAAATATTAGAAAAGATTAGGTAAAATAAATAATAATCTATGAATAAAAGGTAAAAATAGAATAGAAAAAAGCAAAAAATTGACAAGAATCGACAAAAATCGAAGGCTATCAACAAGTTTAGTGGATTCAAGTATTGTTATGCCAAGCATGGAAAAAATGATGTAATATAATACTTACAGATAAATTAATAATATTAAAAATTAATATATAATAAAAATAATCATAATAAATTAGTTGTTTTAGAATTTATTGCTTTAATGTCCAAATTCTATTTGTATACTTTTGAACGAGCTATTTCGTCAATGTTAAATAATGCACAATGTGTCAAATGAGTTCTTCAGTACCTTGAAAATGAATATATCGGTGACAATATATCGGTGACAATATATCGCTGACAATATATCGCTGACAATATATCGGTGACAATAATATATACTTTTTAAAACTTATATAAAATATTATATATTATTTAACAATAACATTTAATTTAACAGTCTGCTTAAAAATATATATTATTTGTGATAATTTTATGGCACATAAATTCAAATCATGGAGATATTTAATCTTCTTTACTTACAAAGTGATGACTTCATTAAAAACTGGATTCAAATTTTTTTGAATTGTTTTGGTCTTCTTTTTAGTTTTGCCACTGCGATCAGGATACAATACCACAGCAACATATGGGTCACTGAACCCATTAGTATCCATTGGTAGTAGATTAGCCGCCTCTTTAACTATAAAGAAATACATTTTTTTTATTGATTATAAACAATAAGAAGTTGTAACATTATTATTCAGATATTGCTTACTATCAACTTTAAGTTGAGTTCCTTTTAGCTCCACAAATAACAACAATTTGCCACGAATTTCACTTATGTCAGCACCGCACATTGGAGGCACTTTATCCTTGCATGTAGCATGAACATTGAGATTGCAGTCTGTTAAGCGAGAACCAAAAATGCTTACCTCACATATTTTTGTTTTGAATATTCCGACACCCTACTTACTATCGCATTTCATACCCTGGTGGGCAATGCCATGCAGCAATAATCCACAATCGTCACAGAATGTTGCAGTGGAATAGGTTGTGGAAACCCAAGCATGCTTGACTTTTGCGCAATCGGCATCGAAATCTGTTTCACCGCCAGGACAACGGAACACCACGTGGTCGCAGCATTTCTGATGAATATTGAAGCGACATTCTGTAACGAAAACGATACACAATAAAGATAAACGCTTTATGGATGTGTTTAAATTATGGATGCGTGCAAATAAGAAAATAGATTCGCTAACTCCCTAATTTGCATACAAATGCACAACGTGGCGTATACGTATCGCTTACCTTCACACTGGTAACCTTGTTTGCCAAAGCCCCTACGGTGCAAAGCAGAACAGCAGAAAAGCAGAAAAGCAGCATAGAAAGAGATAGATATACGTGTGTAAGTGCAGTGAAAAATAAATTACTAATTGAATTAGTGTTTTTTTTACACTATTTCTTTTTTTTTTGTTTGTTATGCAACGAAAATAAGAAACGAAAATTTTTTATAAATTTTTACAAAACCGACCAGATGAAGTCCTTGCAGTGTCCACAATAAGTTGGTTGCTTGAAGAAACGCACGGCAAATTTATGATCCTTAACAAATCTGATTCCTTTGCGCTTCAGAGCGCCTTTACGTAAACGATTTTTCATAAAATTTGTTATGTTGGCATCACCAGTGATTTCTGCGATATTCACCGGTGGTGCTTCTACAGCTGCAGCTGCCATAATGCTATCCTCACCAGGTTCTAAGCACTTTCAAATGAAGTCCTTAAAAAGTTTGATTTATTAATTTTCTTTTCTCTATTTTTATTTTATTATTAAGTGTTCTTTTTATAACAACTGCTCCCGTTGAAATGCTCGTTAGAACTGCAGAACGGCGCTATTAATTTTTCATGTTAGCCTCAGTGTGGAAACCATAAAAGTGCTCGAGAATTTTTAGTGAAAGTTTAAGGTAAGTGTTCTTTTAGCTCTAATAGGGGTTAAAATATTTGTCCAAATGGTCAATGACCACAAAACGAAAAGAAAGCTGCGTGCCTTTCTCCTTGAGTTGTCA